TTGAAAAGCAAATCATAGAAAAGCCAGCTTCTGTTCAGGGTTAAGTCTGCACCAGTCTGTGGAGGCAGACTGTGAAGGAGTCTGTGGAGCAGAGTGACAAATTAACTGAAGAGAAAGGGCAGGGGGAGCAAAGAGGAGAAAAACTCAGCCTTGAAACCATGGTAACATCTGCTGGAGTGTGCACTGTGACTCAGCCAGCAATGGCTGCCAGTTGTATTTTCTACTAATTACCTTCTCAGGTTCATTTTTCTATGCATTACTTGAGGAAAATCAGGAAGAGAAGCTGGCAGCCCTCTTCCCAGGACAGAGGTTCACAGACCTTGGCCCAGATTCACACACTGCCCCACCTGACCTGTCCCACAGCCAAAGAATTACAGTTTCTTTCTTGCTTGAGATCTCAGCAGAGCTTATTCTGCAAGGGAAAGCTTGAAGCAACAAAACACAGAGCTCTAGTTGATCCCATTCATGATGGTCATTCCATAGGGAGCTCTGGGCCCCAGACTCTGAGGACAATGACAAGAAACAGTCATGTTTGGAAAATGAAGACAGGAAAAAAATCAGTGCATAGTGGATGAGATCAGCCACCTATAAAAGTAACCAATCATCATGGCAAAGGGACATAGGCATTAATATTTAAATATATTGCTGATATGACTGATATGTCTCCATGAGTACAGTCAGTGGCCAAATAACTTTCTAACCCACTTCATACTAGGTAATGAAGCTTTGACTGGTTTTTCAAAAAGGGCTTCAGAGAAGAAGGCTTCATCTAGGTTTGTCCAGCATTATCTAAGCAAAGGAACTACAGTTTCTGGAAGACCTTACTATACCAGTATCTCACCAGGTGGATTTTGTTTTTTAGAGGCAGTATTCACTTGAGACAGTGGAAAACAACCAACACAAATTGTATATGTACTATGAACCAGGAGCTTTCCCTTCGTGAATGCTTTTCGTTTTCACAACAGCCTTATTTGCAAAATATTACTATTACCACCTTTTTTTTTTTTTTTTTTTTTTTTTTTTTTGTGGAGACAGAGTTTTGCCCTGTCGCCCAGGGTGGAGTGCAGTGACGTGATCTCGGCTCACCGCAACCTCTGCCTTCTAGGTTCAAGCAATTCTCCTGCCTCCACCACCCAAGTAGCTGAGACTACAGGTGCCTGCCACGATGCCTGGCTAATTTTTATATTTTTAATAGAGACGGGGTTTCATCATGTTGAAAGGCTGGTCTAAAACTCCTGACCTCAAGTGATCCACCTGCCTCGGCCTCCCAAAGTGCTGGGATTACAGGTGTGAACCACCTCACCCAGCCCTATTACCATCTTAAAGCTGAAGAAACAGGGTCAGAGAAGTTAAGAAATGTACCTAAAGTTTTACAGCTAGCTAGGGTGTATGGCAAGGTTAGGCTCCGAACTCGTCTGTTTGACTTCTAAGCTGGTACCCTCTTCCATGATGCCATGCTGCTCCAGTCTTTGCCATCCCCTAAATGAAATTAAGAACATCCAGTTCTCTTTTTTCTGAGTGAATGTTCACCAAATCAGCTCTCCAGAGACAGTGAGGCAATTGGGTACAGACACTCTGTGCAAGAGGCCCTAGGGTCGAGTTATACCCCCAATATGAGACATAAATAAGCCTTTGGATTACGCATCAGTGTGTTATTATGAGTAACCTGGAATGTGCTTGCCTCTGCCTGCTGTGCTTGACCTTCCAGGCTGCAGAAGCACAAGAGGCAAGGAGAAGGAACACAGTATGGGTGGGGAATAGTGGGCAGGGTACTGTAGCCAAGGCAGACAGGAGCTGCTGGGTAAGAGGTCTTTTGTATCCTCAGCCTTGGGCACTGGTCTCCATGTTCAGTGGATTCTGCCTCCTAAACAACACTTCTCCATGCCCCCCACCCCATAATTTTACAGTGAACATTTTGCTGGATTTGCTTTATTACATATTCACCCATCAATCCATCTTGCATTTCAAAGCGAGGTACAGACATCAGCACACTCCATCCCCGAACACTTCAGTAGTCATAATTAGGAGTCACTCTAATTATGACTACTGCCCTCCCCGCCACTGCCATAGCCTTCTGCGTATTCTCTAGACCATCAGAACAGCCTCCACATTGATCCCTCTGCTGCCATTCTCACCACCTCCTACCCTCTGCGGCATCTCAGAAGGAGCTCTTAGGAACACAGACCTGATACTGTGACTCTCCCAGTTAAGACCCTTCAGTGACTCCCCATTGTCTGATAGGACACTGTCCCACTTTTTAAACTGGAGGCGCAGGGGCCATTATGCTGACATCTGCAGCCTTATTCCTTGCTAATCGCCACTGGGCTCAACCATACCAAGTTACTATTTACAGGCCCTATCTTAAGACTCCATGCTGGGGTTTTCTCTTTGTTGGAATCCCCCCTCCCTCGGTCTTTGAATGGGGGCTGTTTTCTTCTTCCTTCCTCCTTCCTTGCCTATTAAACCTTTTGCTCCTTAAAACTATTTAAAAAAAAAAAAAGACTCCATGCTGATCTCTCTGCTTGGAATGCTCTTCCCTTATTTTTGGTCTAGCTAATACTTATTTACCTTTCAAGACTGAGCTCAGGTGATACCTCCTTCTTGGAAGCCTTCCCAGACCCTCTTCTTTTCCCAGGCTGGGACACTCCTCTGTGCTCCCAAAGTACCCTATGCTTATCCCCAATGATGTATAATGTCTATTATTTTAAATTTGTAAAATTTGGTTTTCTGGCACACAATGTGGTCTATCTTGGTAAATGTGTCACATGTA